ACCTACCTACCTAGGTAGGTAGAACTTTATCTTCACCAGCCTTTACTCTAATGCTGCATACTATTGGAGAGAATCGATCGATCTCGCACTTCTCGAACAGTCATCGATTGAAACATACAGCTTCTGAGAAAGAATCAGCTGTGACTTGGAAAAGGATCAGTAATTGCCTAGAGGCACAGCAACAGTAAATGGATATAAGCTAACTACCTAGTGCCTTCAAGGTGGATACTGTAACACAATAGCTAACGTTAGCTCGGCGGCTCTGCCCAGAAAAGACAGGGATGTTTGTCTGCTGGTTGACTTTGCTCTTCTTGTCGCAGCAAGTTCTCCAAGATAGATTTGTTTTAACAACAGCTACAACTCATTCATAGCCGATCACAAACCAAACCATGGCGTCCATATGCTTGAAACATACATGGGCCAAATAAGAACGGCGGCCCAGACACTCGGAATTGACAGGACATACGGATATACAGTACCTAGACAGACAACCAGACCTCGGTCTAGCTCCAATCAGCAAAAAGCAAAAAGCGAAGAAAAGACCCCACGAGATCCAAGCTTTCTTGGCCATGGTAGCCCATCAGAATGCCGCCTTGGCCCCCGTGCTTGATGCTCCCGATGTTAGTGGACCACCAATTGAAGACAAGCTTCTGCCCATGTGGCGTCGACCCTTGGCTGTCGATTGCACAACGTTTTGTCCATCTCCCCGTCTTGTGGACGACCACTATCGATGCCTTTATATTCGTCTGCTGGCAATAACTGACCCTCCCGCAGCCTTGCAACAGGCGGCGTGCCGCGTTCCTGTCTATGTGTGGCTAGGCCTGTAGTCTTGGCTGGGTGCCGACTGACGCGGGTCTCTGGACGTTAGGATTCGGGGAAGAGCAAGGCCTACATCCCCCTCGTTGACTGTGGAAATCGACCGCGTCTACGGAATTTATCTTTCCATCGCAAAGTGATGGATGATGCTGGTTTGCATTGCAGTTGTTCATGGGCAGACAAGAGACAATCTGGCTTGGTGATCTGGACTTCTTGGAACTCTACTTGGAACTTTTGACTCTTGAATTCTAATTCTGTCTTGTCCTTGTCGCGTTTGTCTCTTACTATCACGACTGCTTTGGTGCTTGTACTGCAGGGAGCTTCATCTTTACTCACTCAAAGCTACCTTCTCAAGCTCGCCTTGGTTCGGGAAGTTGAAGTTTAGTTTTCTGCTGCCGTATCAGAGGGGCCGGCGAGTGCACCAGCGGCTTTCGGGACCACCCTTGCCCAATCCAGTGCTTGAGTCTGTCCAAACTGAGTGTGCGCGGTGCCTCCACGTTGTATCGCCGCCTTCTCGTTGAGAGTTTGTTTTTGCGCTGGTCCAGGCATTGACAATATCAAGGGCTCAGTAGCCAAGAGCCTGCCGAGCCCAGTTCCTCTGTTAACACGAGCTTCCAAGTAACCAGTTTGGCCGTTGCTCGACGCTCAAGACAAGGTGTAACAACGGTTTTAGGTCTGATCTTCGATACAGCGCCGGCGCAAACCACTTGCACCTCTTGCCGTTGTGACCGTGTCATGACATGTCCCCACCGCTCGGTCAGTCAGATCGCCCTCGACTGCTACCAGAGACAGCATGTCGTCTTCGGGCTCATCATTCACTTCATCATCTCTCGGTCGCCCTCCTACCTACGGACGAACATACGTCAGTCCCGTCGATTCAACCTGGACTACTCCAACCTCCGGCATATCGACCATCTCTGCTCCGACCACGGAGGGATCAGGAACCGGGACCTCGGTACTTGATCTTGGGCCTCCAGGGTTCCAAGCAACAATGTACGAAGGCCTTTGGTCCAATTGATGTATAATGTTGCTGATCCCGATGCTGCAGAATACTCTTCCAAGACACTGCCGACGAACGGGTCATTTATCTAGGGCCTTGGGAAGTGGTGGGCTCCGAGCAGCGTCGTGTGCTCTGGCAAGGCAGCTATCAGAACGAACTGCTGGAACACTACTGTACGTCGACTTCTGGTTTTTCGGACGATGTGTTAGCTAACTCAATTCGCCCCCAGTGCCCTCAGATACCCCATCTGATATACATCCGCATACGCTACACTCCCGTCATCGTCCATACTACGACGCTTCCGATATGGAACGTTACGTGACATTTCAGGAACCTCACCGGGTTCGATATACCACTGACGAAGGAATTTGCATACACGATCAATATATCACAATCAGATACGAATTTACAACAGTAGAAAGCTCTATCCAGTTCCAAGGAGATTTGCGCAGGAAGGATCTGGTCGACTTTTACGATGTCGACGTTGTCTGGACAAACGTTCATGGACGTACGGACGGCTTTGGCAAGGTGAAGGGTATAGGCGCAATTCAAAGGCTCAAGTTGTGGCGGGATCGATATACTACCTATCACTCGCTTAGTGTATGCGCGAACAAGACGGACGGTCAATATCGAGAATACCATATACACTGTTTCGATGGTGAGCTTCGTGGAAGGGACGACCGCGCGAAGCAGCTTCGACTCAATGCATCCGGCCGGCGACACAATTCAGGTGACGACCATCATTCACACCGACGCTTCTCGCTACCGCACCGTATGCGATCTCGAACAAGAACAACTGATTCTTCAGAGCCGAGATCCGTACAGCAGCCAACACTTGACATACGATATCTAGCGATACAGTTTACTGAGCGCCAAGGTAAATAAGATCCGCCTATAACGGCTCCTTTGGCTAATCCCAAGGAAACACCGATGCGCCGTGTGATATATCAGCTAACAGTCAGGCCAGCATACCGTCGATTCATTGAGACCTGGCTTTATTGCCACAGTTCAGACCGTGAATTCAACGGCATTCCATTCCCGCCGAACCATTTCGAATTACCCTCGCCGCAGATTTTGCCGGGACATTCTCCCGATTTACCGGTATCAGGCTGGCCGAACCATACGCTTGACTCGGTACCAGAGCCTTCGGACACGGCCGAAGCCACGCCTTGAAGAGCCGGATTTGTGTCAGATGGCATATATATCCAGTAGCCAGTTGCACCACTGAGCCGGACCACATGTTTATGCTGCGATGCAATACGCCGTTAAAGCTGGGTGGGGTGACAGTTGCGCAAGGGTCCAGACTGACAGCTCACATCTTCACCTGTCAAACTCAAAAGCAAATGTCGACCGATTGAGTGATAATCGACAGCCGCCCGTGGGGGATTGGTTCGAGTATCAAAATAGGAACCAAGCTATGTACAATGTCGCTGTCTGTGGGCAGATTACGAGGGGGGAATGCTCGCAGCCCCACACCAACTCTCAACACCCCGCGGTGCCTGGATCAGACCATGGAGCTTGTGTCGTCATTGAGATGCACAACCTGCGTGCCATGAAAGATGGGAGAGTCATAAAATCTAACACAAGCTCCCTTCCTTAGGTTGACATAACTGCCACAAACTCAACTCGACTCCAACCCCTCAGTTCCTTCCCGAATCGCTTTATCGACCATGAAGGTCATTCTCGCAATCAACGCCGGCTCCAGTTCGGTCAAGATCTCAGTTTACACTGCCGACAAGAATGCAGAGCCTCGCCAAATCGCAGAAGCATCAGTTGGTGGTTTAACTGCCCCCCCAGCGTCTCTAACGTATTCACGCGGTGGTGAGAAAGTGGTCAAGGCCAAGGAGGTTGCTGAAAGCGTTAAGAATCAGGAGGATGCATTTGATCTCCTACTCAAGACTTTCATCGAAGATAGTGAGTTGAAGGAGATATCTTCAAAGGAAGACATCGCTATCGCTAGCCACCGTATCGTCCACGGCGGCGACTACGACCGATCTCAAGTTATCACTCAAGATACATATCATCATCTTGAAGAACTCAGTGACCTGGCACCACTTCATAATGGCGTTGCCTTGAGTATCGTCGATACATGCATCAGCGCGCTGCCCGGTACGATCAACGTCGCCTGCTTCGACTCTCAATTCCACACAACTCTTCCTCCTCATATTTACACATATCCCATCGATCTCAAAATCGCAAAGAGCAACCGCCTGCGCAAGTACGGGTTTCACGGTATCAGTTATGCCTTCATTACCCGATCTGTCGCCCACTATCTTCAAAGGGACGCCAGCAGCTTGAATATGATCGCTCTGCACCTGGGTAGTGGTGCCAGTGCGTGCGCCATTAAGGGCGGCAAGAGCTGGGATACGAGTATGGGGCTGACGCCTCTGGCGGGCCTTCCTGGTGCTACCCGAAGTGGCAGTGTTGATCCAAGGTAAGACGCCAATGCCTCAGATGCCCATATACAGAGTTCAGATCCCAGAATGATGCTCCACCGGATGTAGCGGAATACCACTCATCAGATCATGCATGAGATGGGTTCCAAAAGCGAAAGGAGGGTGGGATTTGGAATAAGGGTCTCCCTTCTAAATTAAGGTTCTTGCATGCTGACCCTAGCCACCCTTACAGTCTCGTCTTCCACTATGCTTCCGATGTGGGGAAGCTATCTCCTGCATCCACTAAGCACCTTCACATCTCACGAGCTGAGGAGATCCTCAACAAGGAGAGTGGTTGGAAGGCCATGACAGGCACCACAGATTTTGGTGTCGTTGCCGATTCTGATGAGCCAAGCCACCGGCTGGCCTTTGATATCTTTGTTGACCGTATTGCCGCTTTTGTCGGATCTTATTTTGTGTCCCTTGAGGGCCGTGTCGATGCCCTGGTCTTCGCTGGCGGCATTGGCGAACACAGTGCCAAGCTCCGTTCCGCTGTTGTTAACCGGGTGGCCTGTTTAGGTTTTGCCCTCAACGATGCTAGCAACCAGGAGCCCATCAAGGACGTTGTTCAGGAGCTGGGCAATCGTGACGCTCCGCAGCGTGTACTGGTTTGTCAGACAGATGAGCAACTAGAGATGGCTAGGTTGTGTGCTGAAAAGGAAGACATCTGGGAATAGATCAGTTGACGATGAGATGATGCGACATCATGATAACGATGTTGCACTCGTAATGACAGCAAATGATTAGATGATTAAAAAGCATACTCAAAATATTGAAAAACTATATATATTCAATAACGCCAGTCTTGAAGTTGTGTGTGTTAATTTGAGGGGCATTTAGGTGACATATTAAAATAGAACTCTAAACTGCCAATGCCAGACAACCAATTTAGTACTGCTAGCAATATGTCAATAGCTACTACCTAGGTTAGTATCTAGCTGTAGACATCTATGTTCTAAAGTAGACACCTCAGCAGAAGCAAGTTGAGAATGATTGGCACGGCTGCGCTCAACTCCAGACTCAATACTTATGGTACCACGATACTCAATCTACTGGGGTAAACCTCGATACCACCAGGGTGTGAGTGACGAACATACCTATCTGCACGAACAGAGCATGGGTGCAATAGATTCTAGACGCTGCATGGATGTATAAACATTCCTTGGTAATGAAACATCACTCAAGGCTACCAGGGTTGACGAGCAACTACAAGTTGTAGAGAAAAGAAAAATCAGTTTAGTTTGCGAGTCACTCGGAAAATGATTGAATGGAAATCAAAGTGGTATCAATTGTGCACAATTCAAGTGCCTCATCTAACTCTGTAAGTACCAGTGATGGCACTTACCCAATCGATAAATCGACTTATACATGAACGAAGTATTGCCATCTTGCAACAGCGGCAACAGGAACAGCGACGAGTGTGTACTAAGTCACTGTCCCGTCGGTGTCTCTTTGTGCCCAGAGCTACTGGTAAGTCTGAGACTATTCTCGAACAGACACCAACCCGTCCTCCCCCATCTTATATTTGAACAAAAGTTGGAAACATTAAATCGTGAAACCCCACCAACGCCATGCGTTTTCAGCCCTCGAGTTTGCAGCTCCAAGGGACATATCCTGTCGTTTATCTAAACCGTGTGTACTGTGTCGGAGAACCATTCGTGAAGCCATTCGTGTACATGCAACACTGTCCTTTCCCTAAAGCCTTTTGAAGTCGAAAAAAGCAAACCGTAAAAGAAACGCCAAGTAATCCGGGTTGTACCTCGTGTATTCACACAACGCCGCGATTGAAACAATCCAATTGGTGAGAATGCATCCTCATGTCTCTGAGAGACAAGTCATAAAAGTTGAAAGATTTGACGCCGATAGATGAAGTCGACAAATAGGGAAGAGTTTGAGTGATGTGAGTAGCGGAGGATTAAAATTATAAATAAAATTATGCCTTGAGTTTTGTGTGTCATGGTTGAGGAGTTTGACGATCAAACACCTGAGCCCTCCTGGCATGCGACAGCCATGGCGAGAGCATCCAGACCACTGGGTGTTCTACCAGCAACAGGGCGGTTAAGGATAGGGAGGTTGCGACCACCGATATCCCAGGGTCCACTGCTCATGCTAGGCGAGGCCAGAGGGGGTGTAGGAAGGGGATAGGGATCAGCGTCGCGTCGGCTTCTGGATGAGGATGTGCGGCTCGCGGAAGGACGACCAGATGTAGAGTTGCGACGGGTGTCAGCGAGAGATGCTCGGTGGCTGCGCTGGCTTCCAGATGAGCGGCTCTTGTCCTTGAAATGCGTTTCAAGATGTTGTTTCATGTTATCGGCGCGGGTGAACTTCTTCTGGCACCCCGCGAAGGTACATTGAACAGCCTTCTCAGCAGTGTGGATCTTAGAGTGACGCGAGGCGTGGCCTGAAGTTGTGAAGGTTTTTTCGCAGCCGTGAGTATCGCGGTACCGACAGGGGTAGCGCTTTCCGGGACGTTCGGGCATAGGCGAGGATCGGGGCTGGCTGACCATCTCGGCGTCGTATGAGGCCGAACGGGTGCTGTTGGCGTATGCGACATGCTTGGCGTCCATGTTGTAGTCTTGGGGGATGGTGTAGATAACTTGCTGTCGAGGGTAGTAGTCCACGTTCGGAGTCATAGGAGAGACAGGATCATTGCTCATTTGGGAGTCATAGGAGTCGGAGCGCAAAAGCTCGGGGGTGTTAGGCGAAGAAGAGCTGCTGCCAGGAGTGGGGTAAGACTGGTTGAAAGCATAGCTGGGGTGAAAGCTGAGAGGAGGTCGTTGTTGTTGCAATTGTGGTTGTTGGGATGCGCTTTCGTCGTTTAGAAGCGAAACCCGTCGACCAGCAGCGTTGATTGCGTGCATCGTCATTGTGGCAGTAGTCGTGAAAAGTTTGGAGAATTGACAGAAGAAACGACTGTTGATATGGCCAAGGGGTTTTGCGGATACTATGTGCCTGGATGCGGTGGCAGCGCAGACGTAGTGGAGTGAAGCGGGACTAAATAGCGGAATGGCTAGTCGCGGAGCTTGTCTAGACTCGGGGGACTGAATGAAGGGATTGATAGCTCAAAAGTGCCTCCGCTTTTAGGAACACGAGACTAATGGATTTCTCGTGGTCTGTTGCGTTGCGTGTGTACCTGAAAGGCGACAGGGATGTTGAGCAACGTTTGGTAAGGGGAAGGACGTGCTGGTTTTGGCGGTGACAACTTTGTGAATGTTGTCAGAAAATTGCGTAGGTAGAAAAGCGGCAGATGTCGAGTTCATGTACTGCGCTCAGAAGCAGTCAGGTAGGCAAGTTCCGGTAGTGGTATTGGTTGTTGTTGTTTTGAGTAACGTAGGTTGCCGAGGAATCCAAAGAGACAAGCCAAAGTCAAAGCCAGGGAGCAACAACCGACGATGACAGAAAGGGTAGTCGGAGACAAGTGGTGTATAAGAATGAAGGGTTGATTGAATCAAGCATTCAACGATAATGATATCGACTTTGCAAAAGAAGCAGTTTCGTGAGAGAATAGCAGATGTGTGAAGAGTGAGAAGTCGAGGAACATCAAACAAAGCGAGGCTGGAAATGATGGATGGCTGGAGCTTAAGTTTATAAGTAACCCGTTGGAATCAAGGGGAGCGAAACACACGGGGGGGTGTACAAGTTACAGCACAGCACAGCATGGCATGGTATGGCATGGCAGAAGAGCATAACTGCCTAGCAGAAAAAAGAAGGGTAAGGAAGGGATGGAATTGGGGTGGGAATCAAGCATGGGATTTTTTGCGCAACCCCATCGATCGATGAGATCGAGAAAAAGTCGAGTCTGAGTTGAAAGTTACGATGAATGGACGTAACTTAGCTTGGACGAGCCACGGACATGGATGGATGGGGTCCAGCGCCGCTAACGGCAGGTAGTGGTGTGTCTTTAATTTTTGTCTTCCCCTCTCTCTTTCTCTTCTTGCTCTTTCTCTTGCTCTTACTCTTTTTTCTCCTCCATTGGCGGCCTTCTGTTTGCTGTGATTAAGGAGGGGGTGTGCCTACCTAGTCCACCCTGCCTTCCAACAAAACCCTGGTTTGACATGGGAAACTCTCCAAAGAGGCACCTGCCCTGAGAGTCAGCAGCAAGCTCCCGCTCCCCCTCACCATTTCTTTTCCCTGCCCAGTGTCCACTATCCACTATCCAGTGTGCAATGCCCGCTGCCACAATGCAAGGTAGGCAGGGCAGAGCAGGCCAAACCCCGACTCGGCGGGCAGGCAGGTGCGTCCGCTGAGACGGTTTTGGCTGGACCTGCTACAGCAGTGGAGGTCGCGACGGTAGGTAGGTGCTGGCTTGCACTGTGGTTACCTGGGAGGAGAAGAAAAAAATTCACCGACGTTGGATGACAGTCATAACAAGCATGACAAGCTGAAGTTGCTTTTCTATTGGAAAATACTTAGGAAACAATAGCACACAAGTTGTATGCTTGGGACGAGATGCAATCCTATTCACTCCTTTCTCTTTATCTTCCACTGCCTCTTTTCCCTTTTCCTTTCTTTTTCTCTCTGTAACTTGACAAGCCTCATCTCCCAGCTGCCAAAGTATTCTGTAGAAAGTCACAGACTTGGTGGTGGGACATTGGAACGGCATGGTGTGGAGTCCCCTTGCCAGGGACGAGGGCTCTTTCCTCCTGTAACCGACAGGGATGTTGTTCGTTCTTTCTCTTTCATGAATTTCTGCCAGGATTGATGGAAGATAACCGCCAAGGAACAGTGAGAAAGAGCCACTGGGCCACAAACCCGAGGGCTTGATTTTGACCTTTGCTTAGCGCAAGCCACTGCTATCACTGCAAGCGCTTTCCCCTAATAGCACTCGCTCAAAGTAACTGCTGCTGAACCACACTGGTTTTCTTCACCTCAACCTCCGAATGTAATGTCGATCACTCGCTAACGTCCGGGCTACGGATACCTATTCTTGAACCTCACCTTGCTAACTTATGGGTTAGGTGCTTTGTTTTGCTCCGTTTACTTCAGCCCGTATTTACGACCCTGCTGCATGGGGCATTACACCCTCCCATTACAACACTACGTGCTACCACCGCAGTATTTGCGTTTCTGCGGCAATAAACTAGTTGTCTTCAGTTTCGAGATACATTTCAGGGCCGAATCCAAAGGCATCCGAACCCGGACGATAGACGCTTTTCCGGCTGCTGCCACGGCGCGATGCGTTACCATCGCGACAGTTAGTTAGCATTGTTGACTCCAACTGTGGAGGTTCTTTATGCTACTGCACCTATGCGGCGGAATGGCGCTCCGGACTTTGGACCCTGATTTCCCAACCATGATCTCGATCCCAAATCTGTGAGGCGTCACCATGACGGATAGCCGGATCAGTTGAGCTAGTGGGTGAAAGAAAGTACCAGGACCTCAAGACACTGTACAGAATTACAGTATACCGTCCCATCGCACCATGGTGACGTCAATTCTACAGCAGCTGGACTTCAGTTAGAGGTCCAGACTCTCCAATTCACACGATAGGTACTGTCTAACGCGCGAACATTGGCGACTACCAGCTTGGGTACTGTGGAAAATACCCCTAAAGCTTTTGCTAAAGCCACAACGGCTACACCAACGCAAGGTGAGTAAGTACGACAGAAGAAAGGTCTCCCATCGCTCATGCAGGGCTCAATCCCGTTGTCTCCAGGATGATGATGCTGCACCGGTATTGGTCGGACCCTGCAAATCTTCTTTTGTGTCCCCAGGGTCTCTCCATGCTCAAGTTCAACGCCAGAGGATGATCAACAAAGGTGGGAGGCACGCTCATCGTGAACCTCTAAACGTGGGAATAGTTTAAAGTTCGTCAAACGGCTTCCAACGACACATGATGGCAGCTTCTACTGTACTTTGTCCTTGCAACTGATCTTTTCCTCCGCTCTTGGCTCGGCTCGCTTACGCCTAATCACCCAACACCAAGATCGTGACCGTTGCGTTCTGCTTGCCTATGTAACATACAAGAGGGGCTTGCGAAGCATTGAGCAAAGAGCGCCGTCATGGTGACAAGGCCAGTTATAGAGGTTACTATGTACAGTAAGTGCAACCCTCCCGGACAACGTCAGAAAAGCTTCAGACTCGCAGCGGAAGGCATTCTGTGCCTTACTAGCCACAGTAGCTCTGGGGAACGTGCCATGGCGCTCCACCGAGCCCGCTCTCGTCTCACCCAAAGCCCGTCGCTGGTTGCGGGCTCCGAATGGTGCAGAGCATCAGTGGGTCACTCGAGCACCCCTAAAATGCTGAGTCTAAGTTGCTTCGGACTTTCGCTGCACAGTTGCAACCAGGTAGATGTGGAGGCGGCGGGGAACGGGCTACCATCCCCTTGACACTAACGCTTCCAGGGTCACCCCAAGGGTCCCCATCAAGACGGGGGGAAGAAAACTCTACCAACCAATAATCGGAGAAGATCGAGAAAATGGCGATCAAGGGAGTCGAGGTGTGGCTTCTCTGTGGATACAGGGTCAATGCCAACATTTGTATCCGTACTGTTTATGGCAGTACCAACCGCACGACTGCCATTTCTGCTCAGAGTCGGCCTGTTCAGACATGGACAATCTTCAGCGTCAAAAAAA